TTTAATACTTTCTTAATCCTTCAAACCCCAGCAGCCAGTCTCTCGCCAATTATCGCAGACACGCTTCGTGTCGCGCGGCTCACTCGCCACCATGTCCTCCCACGACCCTTCGCGCTTCGACGACTCCGAAGATGAGGAAGATTTCAACCCAGCGCCCGCCGATATGTCCGACGAGGAGCAAGATGTCGATGACAAGAAGATAAAGCGCGGGAGCAGTCTTGCGCCTCGCGATGATGACGATGACGAGGACGAGCGACCGTCAAAGTCGCGACACGCCGATGACGACGATGAGGAAGAAGAAGAAGAAGAAGAGGATGAGGATGACAATCCCAAACGTCGCGATGACGACGACGACGAAGAGGATGAAGAAGACGACGAGGACGAGGACGATGTCCAGCAGGTGAGCAGGCTCTGATTCTGCCAAGGCGCGTTGTCTGCCTGCCCTTAAAATACTGACCCCCTATAGGGCCATCGCAGAAAGCGCAGAAAGGAACGAGGAGCAGCTTTCTTCGATATTGAAGCCGAAGTCGACGATGAAGACGAAGCCGAAGATGACGAGATGCTGGGTGAAGAGATAGGCGACTTTATCACAAACGATCATCCAGACGATATCGCCGAAACTGGTATCGATGATGACAGACGACATCGTGAGCTCGATCGCCGTCGCGAGATAGATTCCAGCATGGACGCCGAGAAACAGGCAGAGATCTTGCGACAGCGATACGGTAATCGACGTTCTGGCAAGGGCTTCAGAGATGCATCGGTTGTTCCCAAGCGACTGCTCCTCCCTAGCGTGGACGATCCTAGCATTTGGGCCGTGCGATGTAAAGAAGGCAAGGAGCGAGAAGTTGTTTTCTCGATTATGAAGCGCATCGAAGAGAGGGCCGGCACTAAGGATGAACTGGCCATTACTGCCGCGTTCGAACGTGGAGGCACCGACTCTGTCATGAAGGGATTCGTCTACGTTGAAGCCCGCCGTCAAACCGACATTTTGAAGGGATTGGACAGTATGATGAATGTGTATCCTCATTCAAAGATGGTTTTGGTCGACATCAAGGATATGCCTGAACTGTTCCGCGTTTCCAAGACGCCAAGTCTGGAGCCTGGAGCCTGGGTTCGTCTTCGAAGGCCCATGAAGCACAATGGCGATCTCGCTCAGGTCATTGATGTTACTGAAAACGGTCTTGAGGCTCGTGTTCGCTTCATTCCCAGATTGGACTATGGTATGCGAGACGATGCCTTCTCTTCAGTTACTTCTGATGGAAAGCGAAAGCGACCTTTCGGTATGGCTGGCCCTAAACCACCCCAGAGGCTCTTTAGCGAGGTTGAGGCACGAAAGCGCCATCCTCGACATATCCAGGGAAACCCTACTGCCGGTACATGGACCTACATGGGTGACGAGTTCGAGAATGGTTTTCAGGTTAAGGACATCAAGATTCAGCAACTTATTACTACCGACGTCAATCCCTCGCTAGAGGAAGTCACTAGATTCGCTTCAGGCGCTGAGGATGGCACTGAGAATCTTGATTTGAAGGCGTTGGCCCACAGTCTGAAGGACAGCAATGCTCTGGCTACGTACCTACCTGGCGATATTGTCGAGGTCTACACTGGCGAGCAGAAGGGTGTTGTTGGAAAGGCGATGCGAGTTCATTCTGATGTCGTCTCGATCACTGTTACTGAGGGTGATCTTGTTGGTCAGGAAATCGATGTCCCCATCCGATCCCTTCGCAAGCGCTTCAAGATTGGTGACCACGTCAAGGTCATTGGTGGTAGCAAGTTCCGCGACGAGGTCGGAATGGTTGTCAACATCAAGGATGACCAAGTCACTCTTCTGACAGATCAGACCAACTCTGAGGTCACTGTGTTTAGCAAGGATTTGCGCGAAGCTAGTGATATTGGTGGTCAAGGATCACTAGGCCAATACTCTCTTCATGATCTGGTGCAACTTGACCCTACGACCGTGGGATGTGTGGTCAAGGTTGATCGCGAGTCGCTCGTTGTTCTTGACCAATTTGGAGATACTCGCCAGGTTATGCCATCCCAGATCGCCAACAAACTTCCAAAGCGAAAGACTGCTGTCGCCGCCGACCGAAGTGGCTCTGAGATTAGACTTGAAGATGTCGTTAAGGAGTACACAGGCCAACAACGACAGGGCAAGATTATTCACATCCATCGCTCGTATGTCTTCTTACACACCAACGACAGCAAGGAGAATGCTGGAGTCTTTGTCACCAAAGCCAGTATGGTCAATACCGTTGCGGCCAAGGGAGGTCGTGTCGCTGCTGCATCCGCTGGACCTGACCTGACGGCGATGAACCCAGCACTCAAGCTTCACAAGAACGGGACAGAAAACAAGCCCGTGCAACAACCCAGATCATTTGGCCGAGATAAGGCAATTGAACAGACTGTTATTATCAGGAAGGGAGCCTACAAAGGTCTTTTGGGTATTGTCAAGGATACAACAGACACCCACGCCCGGGTCGAGCTTCATACGAAGAGCAAGACTATTACGGTGCCCAAGGATAGTCTGAGCTTCAAGAACAAGCTGACTGGAGCTACAATTGACATCGCTAGCCGAGGAGGCCGTGGTGGATATGGTGGTGGTGCTGGGCGGGGAGGTGGTGGTGATCGTGTGCCAGGATGGCAGGGCGGTTCTCGCACACCTATGGCAGGGAGTGGCTCAGACAGAGTGCCTGCTTGGGGATCACGAAGTAAGTTTCTTGGAAATTGATTGGTTTCAGCATGCTAACAAGATGCAGCACCTGCAGCTGCAAGTGGACGCACACCCGCTTGGAAGGCCCCAGATATGTCCGGAGCCCGAACTCCCGCGTGGGCCGATGGTTCGCGAACTGTCAACCCTTACGACGGCAACCGTACTGCTTATGGCTCTGGTGGACGTACACCTGCCTGGCAGGCCGGTGGAAGGACTCCTGCTCCTGGCGATGCTTTCGGTGCTGGCTCACGTACGCCCGCGTATGGCGGTGGCGGCGACAGCTGGGGCTCAGGTTCAAAGACACCTGCTTGGGGAGTATCTGCGCCAACTCCTGGAGCTAGTGGAAACGATTCATGGGGAGGTTCAGGCGCTTACGACGCCCCTACACCCGGCGTTGGTCTTGGTGCCCCGACTCCTGGTGCATTGAGTGCTCCCACACCTGGCGCCTACTCTGCACCAACTCCCGCGGCCATCAGCGCACCTACACCAGGAGCTTCGTGGCAGGGTGGATGGGGAGCAGACTCGGCTCCTACGCCCGCGGCTGGCGCTCCCACGCCTGGTTATTATGGTGCTCCTACACCTGCAGCATATGCTCCTCCAGAGACTCCTGCCGCCACTGGTCCTCGATACACTGATGATGATTGATTGGGAGGGGAGGGTATAGTAAGATCATAACGCATGGACAGGCAGTAAATGGGTTTGCACAAGGCGTTTTGGAAGATTAAATATTGTATAATCAAAAACTATAGCAGAAGGCTGATTAGCACTGAAGATTTGAAGTGCGACTAGAACTTTGGGTGAGCTCCAATTGAATTAACCGTTAATGTGAAGAGAATCGGCTAGGTACTAAGATATTGATCAAACTTTGGTGTTGTGAGGTCGAGTCGAAGCTATGGCTTTATCGATAAGGACTTGGTGATCTTTTCCCACTTGGATTCGTCAATCTCGAACTTCAAGCAACTTTACGACATTGCGACACTTCAACACCCACCAATTGGGCTCAAGTCACACGTTTACTCGTGCGGAAACAATGTCATTGCGAATTGCGCCACGAAAAGTGACATCAATCGCGGTTCCTCGAGCCTCGCACCTCGAATGCCCTCTCCTCAGTCATCGAACCTCAAAATGCGCATTCTCAACATCACGACCCTCCGATCGCCGGCAACAAATTCCAAGCCCAGTCGACTCTGCTAAACCCGGCGAAAAGCCCACCAAAACGACCATAACCCTGACAACATCCGAACAGTCTGCTGAGAGCGCAAAGAGTATGATCGAAAAGGCTACGAGACTGGCACAAGAACGAGAAGACAAACTACGGCAGGCACGTTCAGCACGACTGGGGAAGCTTTCTACAAACGCAGAGAAGAGGCAAGATGTAAGGGAGAATCTGGCATCTAGCGAGAGGAGGGAAAAGGCAAGGCAGGCTGAGGAGAGAACGAATGCGGCCGAGGAGAAGAAGAAGACTGGGTTGACGAAGGAAGAGAGGGAGAAAGCCGAGAAGGAAGATTACAATAGGAGACATAAACAGCTGGAGAGATTTTGGCTCAAGTTCATGGTGGGGATGCCAATTGTCTTGGTTGTTGGTTATGAACTGTTTCAAAGACGTAAGTTGCCCTGCTTGTTGCATAGAGATGCGCTAATATGGGGTAGTTGTTATGGGGAAAGAACAAAAGGTCATGCCGTACAAACAGGCCAAGATCAATAGAGAGAGGGAGGAGAGAGAGCGGCTTGCCAGGGAGAATGGCGGGAGCGTGGGAACGGAATGAGAGAGGAATGTGATGGGGACTTGCGGCTCGATGCTGAAGTCAAAGACAAGCTCTTAGCCGGGACTGCTGAAAGCTCAACAGTGCTGAGATGTGTATTATTGTATAATATAACGTGTACGATATGTTGGATGTTGAAAGGAAGACACCAAAAGGCAAGACGCCACGGTTAGAAAGGTGGTGTTGTGACATGGACGTTAACATCCGCCTGGCAGCGGATGCCATGATCAAAGCGGGAACAATGAACATTGACTGATGCTATTATCTTTATCGCCAGCGCAACCATAGAAGCGTTGGACTGCTAGGTTCATAGCGAGCTCAGGAGATCGATCAGGGACAAGTAAATGGTTGCCCAAGTCATAGTGTATATATCATAGGCCCATCTAAAATAGACACAAAAAAGTAAAAAGTAATTACATAAAAATGCTAACGTTCAAAGTCATAGAAGATGAAAAGAATGTTTTCTCCGACTCCTCCTCCAAACCTGTATCTAATCCTTTTCCATCATGTCCCAGGTGTGTCACTTACTTGGACTGCTGGCACTTGAAGCAATCCTGCTCGTAGAACTTGACCCAAGAAGTGCTCTTCTTGTTGATCTTGCCGCTCTTGTACAGCGTACACTTGGCAGCACTGTTGTAGAACGCAGGCTGGTAGCTGAAGTACTTGCACTCCTTGCCATAGTCGATACAGCTCTTGGCACAGTTCTCGAGGCACGACGCATCGCCCACGACATTGATCTTCTCCTCCTGACAGATCTCACCGCGCGTGCCGCAGTGCGTGTCCTTGGCGCACTTCTCAAACGCAGGGACGTACTTGGAGCACGTAGCAGGGGGTGTAGGCGTGGGAGTGTTGGAGCAGGTGTAGCAGGTATCGAGGTCGTAGAACTTGACGCCCGTGTTGCAGGGTGTGAAGCTGAGCTGGGCCAGGGGTGCGGAGTAGAGCTGGCAGTAACCGCCGGTGCTGCGGAACTTGGGGGTGTAGGAGAAGGTCTTGCAGGTGAGGGTTGTGCCGCAGAGCTTGCCGCAGGCGTTGACGTCGGTGACGGATGTGGCCTGGCCGAGCTTCTGGGTGGAGCGGCAGGAGACCTTGCCTTGCTTGCCGCAGGTTGAGGGGGCGTTGGGGAGGGGGATGTAGTTGGTGCAGACGGGGGCTTCGGTGGTTGTGGTGGGAGCTTCGGTGGTGGACTGAGCTTCGGTTGTGGTGGTTGTAGGAGCCTCAGTGGTAGAAGCAGCTTCAGTTGTAGTTGTGGGAGCAACACCGGCCTCAGTGGTGGTGGTTGAAGCAGCGCCAGCTTCAGTTGTAGTGGTTGAAGCCTCACCAGCCTCGGTGGTAGTTGTAGAAGCAACAGCAGCTTCGGTGGTGGTTGTAGATCCCTCACCGGCCGCAGTAGTAGTGGTAGCAGTAGTCTCAATACCAGTCTCAGTTGTCGTGGTAGAACCAGCAGCCTCAGTGGTGGTAGTAGCCTGACCGCAACCAGCATAGCAGATCTCAAACTCATAGAACTCAGACTCCTCGGCAGAAGCACAGTTGTTGATCTGAAGCTCGCTCACAGTTTGAGTGTAGAAAGTGCAAGTGGATGAAGAAGCCTTGTAAGCGAAGGTCTTGCAGCCAGAGACCTCACTACACTTGCTAGCACACACATCGGCGCTGCTACCAGTGTCGGTGGAGATGTAGGTCTTGTAGGTCTTTCCCTTGACAGCGCAGTTGGTGCTAGGAGGGTTAGGGACGGGAGTGTAGCCGGTACAGACGGAGTCGGTGGTGGTGGAAGCAGCTTCAGTAGTGGAAGACTCGGCGCCAGCTTCGGTGGTAGTGGTAGCAGTGGTATCGACACCAGCGGCTGTTGTGGTAGTGGTACCAGATCCAGCCTCAGTAGTAGTAGTAGATCCAACAATAGCCTCAGTAGTGGACGATCCCGACTCCTCAGTAGTAGTTGTTCCGCTCTCAGTAGTAGTAGTAGCACCACCCTCGTCACAAGAATAGCAAGCTTCAAAGTCGTAAAACTCCAAGACAGGAGTACTAGTAGCATCAACATTCAAACCGCTGACGGGAACCTTGTACAGATAGCAGGTATGGCTCTCATCCAGAGCGAACGAGACACACTTGTCGCTGGGCTTGGTGGTGTCATGGTAGACGCCGCAGCTGCGAGCACAGTCCTCGATATTGGAGTCACCAAGGCCTGCGAGGTTATTGAAGAAGGCACTCATGCCCTGGGGAGCACCTCGGACGGCGCAGTTGGCAGCGGGTGGGTTGGCGACGGGGGTATAGGCTGTGCAGCCAGCGGAGGTTGTTGTTGTGGCAGCTTCAGTGGTAGAAGACTCGACGGCAGCAGTGGTGGTAGTTGTGTCAGAGCCAACCTCAGTCGTGGTTGTAGATCCAGCAGCTTCGGTGGTAGAACCAGTCTCTGAGCGAGTCTCGGCAGTAGTAGTAGTGTCAACACCAGCAGCAGTGGTGGTAGTAGCAGCACCTTCATCACAAGAGTAACAAGCATCCAGATCATTAAACTCCCAAGCGGGAAGGCCACTGCGGTTGATGCCCAGGGTGCTAACAGGAACACTGTAGACATAGCAAGTGTTGGACCCGTCTAGGGCGAAGGAGAGACACTTGTCGTTGGGCTTGGTGGCATCGTGGTAGTTAGCACATTTAAGGGCACAGTCGTTGACACTGGCGGTGTTGCCGTAGGTTGCGAGTTGACTCATGGAGGCACCACCACTTGCCGAGCCCCTAACGTTGCAGTTGTTGTAGGGGGGGTTGGCAACTTGTGTGTAGGCTGTGCAGCCGGCGGAGGTTGTAGTTGTGGCAGCGGCTGTTGTTGTGTCTGTGTTGGCTGTGAGGGTCTCGGTAGCTGAGGTCTCAGTGGTAGCGCCAGGAGCAGTTGTGGTCTCAGTTTGAGAGCCAGTGGCTGAGGTCTCAGTGTCGGTTGTGCCTGTAGCATGGGTTGTACCAGAGGTTTCGGTCTCAGAGCCTGTGGCAGTTGTTGTTCCTGTCTCGGAACCAGTAGCTGAAGTCTCTGTCTCTGAGCCGGTAGTAGTTGTAGTTCCAGCTGAAGCAGTACCAGTGGTCTCGGTAGCAGAACCAGTAGCGGAGGTTCCAGTCTCGGTTCCAGTAGTCTGAGATCCAGTAGCAGTCTCAGTACCAGAGGTAGTTGTACCCTCACCACATCCGAAGCAAAGGTCGAGGTCATAGAAGTGGCTAGCATCGGAGCCCTCGCTGAACGTATATCCGAGTGAAGAAACGAGGGCATTGTACAGAGTGCAAGAAGAGCCCTTGATGGAGAATGACTTGCAGCCAACAGTCATGCCGCAGGTGTTACCACACTGAGCATAGTCGGTAACAGTGATAGGAGATCCAATGACCTTGTCGGCGCAGTTGGGTGCAACACCAGTCTTACCGCAATCGGCGGGGACGATCTCAGTGTAAGGAGTGTAGTGAGAGCAAGCAGCCTCAGTGGTGGTGGTAGCAGCAGTCTCAGTAGTAGCAGTAGAAGAAAGAATGTCGGTTGAGCCAGAAGTAGTCACAACAGCAGCGGTTGAACCACTCGTTGTGACAGGCTTGGGCTTACAAGGGCTGGCGTCGGCCACGGCCAAAGCAGCCAAGATGGCTGCAAAGACCTTTGAGGAAGGCATTGTCGGGGGAGTGTATTAAGCTATTGCAGTAGAGGTAACGATTGTAAGTGAGAATAAAAGGTTCCCGTGTAGTGAGCGAGTGGAATGTAGTTGGTAGAGTATCAAGTCAAAAGAGTGACAGGCAAATGCACAGCAACAGCAAGAAAAGAAAGAGAGTGTTTACCGCTGAGGGAACAGTCACAATAGCGAACGTACGACACCGGATATATAAGAGTCCTTCATCGAATTCTTGGCTTAATTACCGATCTGTCCACCTCCATCGCCACTGGCACGATCTAGCAAGCGAAGTCACTTGGCGCCAAAGATACAAGTTGCGCCGTACCGTGGTAGCCATCTTCTAAATCTGGACTTCATCCGGGTGAAGCTATCACGATTCGGGGATGGGAGAATCGATAGCTTGCGGTGTCGTGGTGGGGAGGAGATGGCTAGTCAGGGGTGCAGACCGTTTGGTGGCGTCTTGGTTCATAACGCTACGGGAAATAAAATGAAACATACAGGTAAGGGTTACTGAGGATGGGGTTTTATTAGGGCAAAGGACGGAGAGTAGTTGGTGGTGGTTGTGGTGATGGGAGGGAGTGTCTCGGTGAGTGGGAGACGTGCCGGTGCCTGAAACCTGAGACTGGATGGCAGGTGAAGTTATCGAGATATTGACCAGGTCTCTTATCTTTACGGATGATGAGATAACGCCATTGACGATTACAGTGTCTTTGAGGGCATTCTCCAAATCCCATGCCCATCAAGCCTTCATATCGCCACCACCATCCACAACACTCAGCGCTTATCACCAACTCACGCCCTCAAAGAAGCCCAACAAACAATGACGTCTACACAAAATCTTGGCCAATGCCGACAATCCGACGCTCAAGCCCTCACTTTACCATCTCACTTACCGTAGAACGAGACGTGACCAGCTGAACTACGGATCTGGCCTGACAAACGGACCCCAGTCAATCACCTTTTTAGCGCCGCAGCAATTTAAACACCTTTTTGCGCCGTGGCTTGAGAAAGGGGAGGAACTGCGTACGCCTCCTATTGCTGTCAGCGCAATTCGCATCGGGTCTATTGAGTGACTATCGACGGATGAGATGTTTGATAGATCGTGGAGTTCTTGGGAGAAAAGCCTCAGTCGCTTTTTTTTTTTTCCCTTTTTCTACTCGGCCGAGATGATGATGTTTTGGAGAGGTTCAGTGTGTGTAAGTGAGACCCGCAGAATGTTTCGTCGTTTAAATTGTTTTGTTTGTGGTAAACGCAGGTACCAGATGAAAAAAGGATGTCGTTTCTTGGCAGGGGAAACACTCAGACCCTCAATTCAACAAAGACTCACTCGCTCACTCACTCATCACATGGAGAGTCACAGTTCTCTCGGCGTCGTCGTCGTCCGAGAAAACATGGCTTGACATGGTCTCGTTTCAGCTAACGCTTGCTCCACCGACGTCTGCGCTAACTCCACTGAGGATGGCTTCTTTTTTTCGTTCTGGTGATAAAGAACAAAAAGAAAACGTGGTGGGTGGAACACACGAATAGCGGAATAAGGCTAGACATGTTTATGTTTGCGAGCTAGAACGATTCGACCCATAACGCAATCTTACGATGAGCCGATAAGGGCTTGGCAAACGATTGCGGACCCGAGAATTTGGAACGCAGTGGAAGTGGAGGATGAAGGCATTCGGAGTTTGTGGATACAGAGATGGCAATAGAGTTTCTTCTCTATCATGACCAGTCCGGCCAGTCTGCAATATTCACTGTAAATTAGGGTAACATGATGAATTTATGCAATTCGTGTCTAACTTTAGAATCAGATCTCTATCTATCTATTAAAGATGTGCTCTGATTATCCAATCTCTATCTGGGATGCCTCGGACCTGAATGATCGACAGCATCTTCATCTGCAACGCACATCAACCGTTTCTTCCGATCTCCCTAAGAATACCTTAGCTTCGTGATCGTCGTCCCATCCTCCAAAACACACGTCTCCTCCTGCAATCTCGTGCCCCTCCACCTCGGCACCGCCCTCGTCCAAAGATACCAATACCCTACACCACCCACAAGAATAACCCACGAAAACACCGCATACAGCGCGTAAAATACTTCTCCCTCGTAGTCCGGCGGTCTAAAAAACGGCGCCGCTATTAAAGCGCAGCTCATCGCTATCCTAATACTCACCGCGGGCATCCACGCTTTAAAGGGTCGCTTGAGGTCTGGACGCTGGAAGCGGAGCTTTACGAGGCCGATTGCTACGGCTAGCCCGATGAGCTGCGCGGCGTATCCGTCGATGTCGAGGATGAGAGAGTAGATTGAATCTGAGGGTGGGAGGATCATGACGAGAAAGGAGGGGATGTAGTGGATTATGAAGCCACCCATCGGAGAGTTGAATGGTCGTGAGGAGGAGAGCAGGGATGAGTATGGGAGGAAGCCTTGTCTTGCGATCTCTTGCTTCATCCGTGCCTATCACAGTTAGTTTGATGCTTTATGGAAATGGGATGGGCATACCATTGCGAAAGCGACGACCATGACATTCCCGACTGACGATAATGCCACAGCTGTCGGGAGCACAACTCTCCCAAACTTCTCCCCGAACAACCTCTCAAAGAACAACGCGGCAATGAGTTCACCACTCCCTCTGATCTCTTCAATCGGCACCACCAAAAAGTACGCAATGTTAACAAGCATGTACAATCCACACGCCGTCCCCAGTGCCGTCAGCGCAACAGACCTCAACGTCCTCACGGGCTGCTTGACTTCATTCATAACATTCGCAGCATTATCCAACCCCGCGAACGAATAAAATACCTTGAAAAGACTCGTCGCGATGACGCCCCAGTTCCAGCTCGTCTCTTCCCAAAGATGTTCCCATGCGAGTTGGTGCGTAAGTGGTGCCGTGCTCGTGTCGGGACGGAAGATGACGACGTAGAAGCCTGATAGGATCATAAAGACGATGATGCCGATTTTTATCCAGCCCAGGACATCCTGGATCTTGACGCCTGCTTTAGGAAACACGCTGTGTGTGATGCAAACAAACGTGAGAAGTCCTACAGCAAGACTCTTGCTCAACACATCTGTCGCTTCGAGTCCCAGCGCAAATAAAGCATATTTACTAAAAATAATGCAATTACTCGCCGTGAAACCCAGAAGCACAGCATACATCGCAAACAGTGTAGATGCAAGTAGTCGTGGCCGTCGATACGCAAACTCAAGGTATACTTTATCGCCTCCCGACCGAGGAAGCATACATCCAAACTCGAGCGACACAGCAAGACCGCAAGCTGCGATGAAAGCGCCGACTATCCATAGCGATAGTGATAGTCCTGCGCTTCCGACGGATTGTACTATTGTTCCCGGCGTCGCAAAGATACCGCTGCCGACGACGCGCGAAATAACGAGGATATAAGCACTCTGCCACGATAAATTCCGCCCAATGGTCGACGTTTCGGGGAGCACATCGTCTTCTACATCTCGACTTGGGTGTATCTCTCCTGCAGCTTCGCTATCGATGGAATCATGGCGCGTAGAGGTCTTATCAGTTGAACCGTAGGAGCTGCGCGATTGCAGCAGCGGCGCGTTGGACGAGTCTGCCATTTTGGATATGTTGCTGGTGAGTTACTCGAGACATGTTGGGTTTCTTATGGGGTTTGGGGAGTGAAGACGTGATTCATATTGATAAGCTGTTTTTCTTGTTCCGGGGCGAGACATCCGCGTGTTTTCTGGCTTGTGATGGGCTGGGCAGTGAGAGTTCGTAAGACGTGATCTGGATGGCGCAATCTGGAGTTTGTCATGAGGGGCTGATCAGCCACCACGTGCATCGACAACGTACAAAAAAGGTAAGAAGATGTAATTGATGAAGTTTATCGATAAATTATGTCAGTTCTCGCGTGATCTTACTGTTTTGTCTTTCCGTTGATGAGGCGGGAATGGTGTAGGGTATCCTGTATGTGATGGGCAACAGGGCTGGAGATCGAGATCTCGCATGGTACATCATGAAATAATTTTGAAATAATTATAAATGTAAAGCTCTAGACTTCAAGCTGAAGATATTGCTAATTATATGATATGGTATGAGTTCCTGTTTGACCCTGCCTTAAAACCGGGACCCCCAAAAGCGTCAATATCAACTCTTTCTATAGAACTCTATGCCTCGACAAAGCTGGGAATACCTGACATATAAATCCATAACACTGGAAAAAACCTCTTACACTCGATATTTTCACGGGATGTTCTTATAGTGAAGAAACAGCGCAGGAATTACAGCGTTATCAAGCAGATGAACTCCTGTTGCTCCATTGCTATAGCAATATGACAGTTCAAGATCAATGCGGCAACCAAGCGAAGAAAAACGTGCTCATATAACACTGAACTGAGACCTTGGGTAGCTTGTACTCTGTGAACTGTGGCTACGAAGTGGAAGTATTACACTTTGTCATATTCAATCAAGCGAAAGCATCGGCTCCACAAGGATGAATGATACAAACACGAGGCTGAACTCGGATGCCGAACTCGAGAAATGTCTCATCATAGGCTTGGTAAGCCCATGTTTCCGTAGACCTATGCTTTACATATCGCTTCGGTCAGCATAAGGAATTCTAATGAGTTGACTAGTGTGACAAGAAGGAAAGTTAATAGAAAGAAAGAAACGATAGAGTAGTATATGTATTCTTATCCCTCGTCGATATTTAGAGGGCCGAGTCTGCTGGAGCAAGGTAACGATAATTGCAGCAAGTTTCTCAATTATTTCTGGGAGAGAGTTCTACTAGTAAATGATAGAAGTTGAATTTCAATACTATCAAAGATGCTTCAAGAAGATTTCTGCCAATACGAAATCCAACTTCGAGACAAGACCTATATTTGTTTCGGACCGTCGCTTGCCTATAGACTCACCCAGAAGCTTTTATGAGGTATACCTCCCGGGGAGCTAAAACCTCTCACATTGAATCTACACGCCCTAACAAGGCAGCGATTATAGCGCATTGCAACTCACCGACGAAGGCTTCCTGCAACAAAGCCAG